AAAAAAAAAAAAAAGAAAAAAAGAAGATGGTACATTTTATATTATATGTATTTTACTACAATTTTGAAAAAAATATTTTTCAAAAATAAATGCTCAGTAAATATATTTTCCAGATGAAGTCTGAAATTATCACCAGTGGTGTCATTCTGTCAAACAGAATTTTAAAGGATATTCTTTGGAAAAGAAAAATCATAATGAAAAAAGACCTTTGGTAAAACGGGAATGGAAGTAGGAACACAAATTGGTTCAGTTACATAAATACTAATGAAAAAGGACTGGATGGCAGTTCTCTGCCTGTAAAATTGGTGTTTTTTTCTATATTTTTCTTTCTTTTTTCTTTCTTTCTTTCTGTTTATCCTCTCTTTCTTGCTTGCTATGAAATGACACCAGTACTTTCAGGCTGGACACAAAGTGAATTGCCTAAAGTCAGACCTGTCTTGAAGCGGGTAGGGAATCTCAAATATCATATTTCCTTAGGGCAGATATGATTACAGCCATTTAAATTTCAAGTGAGCTCTGTGTCTAGGCAATTATTTCTCTGTCTTGGTAATGAACTTTAAAGAGTAATTTGATAGGTTTCTGAAAAGCTTTCTTGAGGAAAATTTATAAATACTATTAAGTATTCCATTTGCCATTGCATGCTGAAGTGTGAAAATATATAATTTATATATTCTTGTGAAGGTTACTATATATAGCATGTGGTATACAGTTAAAAATGTCCATTAACAAATAATCCAGCCTAAGAATTATACATCCTATAACTACAGGAGCCTCTGTGCTGCACTCACCAATTTTATTTCTCCTCAACTCTGAGGAATCTACTGTTTATTTTCTTGGTGTTTTCAATTTTATTATACATGTGTGTGTATCCCAAATCTAGTTTTCCCTAGAACATACAGGGGCAAAATGTTAATTTTGACAAATTTTTATCTTTCCATATTATAAAAGTGTAATTTATTCCTCTGAGAGAAATTACTTACTAGTGATTTAGGAAAATGGCCGAAGCAATTTCTTTTCATTTTTACTTGAATCAATAAACAATCCTTCCAAATATCTGGTATCATTACCTCTCTGTCGTCAGACTCAATTTCCATGTCTTCTATTTCCTCAGTGTTTGTCACCTCCTCTATAATTCTCAATTTCCTTGTCTAACTTTTGCTCACATTTAGAATACTTTCCCAGACTTTTTAATTGCATGTTTATTTATCATTTCCAATGTTGCCATATATCTTCCAATTTTCTACTGGATTTACCTTTAAAAGTATTTGAGTCATCTGTAGCCATTTTTAAACTTACCATTAGCTTTCTACTCCCTAGAGAGAATGAACAAGAAAACCCCGAAAACAGCTCAACACGTTAACCTTCTAATTTAATCTTTCTGCAAGGTCTAGCTACATTTTATTACTGGATCCTTTTTAACTGAAAAATTCTAGATTGTTGTACCTAAACATTCCTCAACCAGATTGATCTCACTACCTTTTCTTTTCTAAGGGCTCATTTGATAATTGCCCCTTCAGTGAGAGATTTAGTAATCTTTTCTAATTGTCTGAGAAGAGGTTTATTTGCTTCTTAAATTGCATATTTTATTTAGCCTTATATTTAGTCAGTTCTTAATACTTCATGCTTTACTACTTGTGAGGTTCTATGAGATTAGGAACTACCTGCTCTATTTACCTTTGAATACACTTTCCTTCCATTCTTCCATTCTTTATTTTTTCCCTCACAAATACTGAAATTTTTCCACTAAAAAACTTTCTGGGTGAGAATAAAAATTTTTTAAAAATGGGTAAAATAATAGAGGTTTCATATCTAAACTTTTTACTTTAATCCAAACCCTGTTTCCATAACTGGATCTTACTGTTATTACTGGCTTTTCATTTCTTTCCCTCTGGAGGAACTTTTAGAATAGTTTTCATTTTACAACCACTGTTGTTACTGGGTATAATAAACTATGGCATCTTTCATCACAGAGGGAATGAACCCTTAATAGTGTCTAACAAAATAATTGTTTGGCAGGTATAAGCAACATTTCAAAAACAAATATCTACTCTGAAATAGGTTAAATTAAATTCAAACTAATAAGAATTGCACTTTGAATAATAGCGATATGACAAAAAGATCTGGAATTAAAATGATCTACATCTTTACAGTTGGATTAAAGCAAATAATGATGTTAATTTTATACAAGACAACAGAATTATTTTATAGAAATAAACCACTACACCTGTAAAGTTTTATCTTTTTACCCATTTTAGTTTTCTTCTTCACTAAACTTAACAATCCAGTTCATTCTGATAGCAACTTACCATATTATTTAAAAGATACTTTGTTCAAGCAACTGTACTTGCCCAGAGTTTCCTTAATTTTCTCAAGTGAATAATGTATATTTCACCCTATAAGACACATAAAGAGTCTTTCCAGGAAAAGGAAATTCCATTGGTAGTGGCCTAGAAATTCATAAAGCTACCAACAAACTTTCCTCATAATTCAGAAAAAATAAAACAATAAAGATCCTTGGCCAAGGGAAGAAATACCTGCATGTACTTCACTGGGACACTACTGGATAATCTTAGCAGAAACGGTTCAGTATATATTATGAAAATGCTAAAAGGGGATATCATGCACCATCCATGTTGTTATAGGTAAATCTCTTTTCTCCAAATTTCTGAAGTCTTTATTTATAAAAGAAAGGGATACTAAAAGAAAAAAGAGTACAAAATTTTAATCCAAACACCTGAATCCAAATTAGGATGCAGGGT